GTTCCAGCATAATATGCTGGAAGCAAAGGCGGATGCAGTGTACCACCTACGGGTTCAGCTGAACCCATAACTTTCAACGCGGAGTAAAAATTTGTATGTAAAAATTCATTAAAATTGCAAAAATAGTAGATATGAACCCATAACTTTAAAAATATAATGGGTTCAATGTTAAAAATCTTAAAATTGAACCCATAGGATTTAAATCTCGGATCCGACTCTGACTGGAAGTTCATACACAGGTGCACCGATCTCCAGTATATTATGCTGGAACTTTCCGTGTTGCAGCAAAATAGTGGCTTTGTTTAATGACTTTGCATACGCTGGCTATTTTTTAATGATCAGTCCGAAAACTAGCTAGCCCGTGCTAGTTTTACTATATAAAATAGTAGTAAAAGGGTGCAGGTGAGCGTGGCTTAAGTCGTTACGTGCATGTTGAAACTTGAAACAAAATAAATAAAGAAGGCTTGGTTGTTGAAGCCCAACAACTAATTACTACTATGTCTTTGAGTTAACACGTTTATTTATTTATTTATTTATTTAAATATATGTAATGTCTTTGGCAATTAATTGATTGATTGGCATCATTCGCAGCTGTGTGTTAATTTGTCACATCTTTGAGCCCGTTTGGACATACGAATTTTTTTCCTTTTTTCCAAAATTTTTTTTTTCCGAAATTTGTTTGTTCTTAAAATTTTCAATTTTCATTTGAATATGCATTTTGAAAATTTGAAAAACTCCAAAAAACTGTTTTTCAAAATTTTCACTCAAATCACTCACAAAAACTTCAAAAACAACCCAAAATTGTATCCATATCCAAACATAACTTTAAATTTCAAATGCCATTTTCACTTTATAAAAAAAATTCAACTTTTTTTTTTTTTGAAATTTTACAATTCTTATGTCCAAACGCCCACTTAGTTTCTAACTTCGCCCCTGCTGGCCATAGCTGCCCAGTGAGAACTTGCCACAGCCGTTTTTGGACAGTGTTCTGTACATGGGTTAGGTCTACTTCCAACGATTTTGAATTTTGATGTACAAGTTAAGCGTTCCCACTCTATAAGAAAAAGATATTCCTCGGTCCCAATTTATGTAATACTTTTAATTTTCTAGATTTAATTTTTTTAATTTTGATTGTGTATTAAACATAAAATCTTTAAAGTTTTCGAAATAAAATTCATATATTTAAAAACTACCTAAAAATATTATTAGTAACGACACTTTAATTTTTATATGATATTAGATAGAAGCGAGTTCAATATTCAGAATAAATGGGATTAAAATGAGTATAATCATATAGGTCGAACCCATAAAATTCTTGTTGGCCCAAGTAAATATGAGTTTTGAATACTGACAAAGGAACTCAGACATGGACCAGGTCTATTCTAGTGAGGCACAGATATGGTCAACTCAAGCATGTGAGATGCACGTGAAGGAGATAAACTTAACTTACCAGAAGTGATATCTCCTGATCATGATCGAAAAGGTTGCATATTGGATAAGGAGAAAGACTCCTTACACAAAGAGAACACTACTTAAGAGACGGATAGAGTTAGAGGATGAGTTCAACTAGAACTCTTCCACCATGGAAGATTAGCATCAGAATTCTAGTCAATCTCTATTTACTAACTCCATAAATATCAGTGTTGTTCTCTTTTACAGGTAACGCACATAAGCAGAAGTAAAATATAAATTGAGAGCAAAATAGCTAGGCAATATTGCAAGCAGTTTATGTGTGATTCAAGCATGCAAACCTGAAGCTACTTGAACCAGATAGAAGAACCAGTTCCAAGTGTCTGTCTTTTATTCTAGTTCAATTGTAGTAGGTGGTTTTCATATTGTACCTTTCAGCTTATCTAGAAGCAATTGTATTAGGTACTCATAGTTTTCAAGTTAGAGTTAACTTGAAGTTGTCGCAACAGTTAAGGCTGTGTGCTACAACGGGATTAGAGTTAATCCTAGGTTTACAAAAGAGTTTTTGTAAATGCGGTTTTTGGCTCAGTGATTTTAGTGGAAAATCCTACTAGAAAGTAGGTCGTGGTTTTTTCACCTTTTGAGCTAGGTGTTTTCCACGTAAAAATCTTTGTGTTCTTTAATTTCTACTTATTATTCCGCAACAGTAGTAGTTGAAACACATAGAAGAACCAAGTCCTTATATGATCAAATTAAGCAAAAAAATTGGGTACCACACAAATCACNGGGTATGATTAGTTTGCTTTTGTATCTTACTGCTAGCAGACCTGACATTGTCTTCAGTGTAGGGCTTTGTGCTCGATTTCA